CCTTGATAAAGAAGCATTTTCATAGTAGGAAAAATGTGAGAAATTGCTAACTTAACTATATTTTATTGATCATTAGCCCTTCGCTTGTAGTTAGTTATTGTGTCTCTTTTCCCCCCTCCCCTTTGAATGTCCGGTAATCTCTTCCAACACCCACCCTAAGTCCACCATCACTACCACCACCACACATGGTCTTGCTTACCTAAGAACACACTACAGCTCCATCATTGTCTTCTGAGTCTAAGAGGCGGCTTCAAAAAGTTCATGAAAAATTTTTCACTGTCTTTCAATTCCATTTTTCCATGAACTTTTTGAAGCCCCTTCATATTTAATCTTTACTTGTCATTGTTGTTACTGTTAGTTGTCATCATGTTGACTGTAACTTATCTGTAGTGTGGTTATCTCCCCAGATTACTGGCCCTTCCAAGAGTAAAATTGGTCTTCTTACCATTTCTGATGATTCCTCAAAGGGGCGCAGGGGGAATAGCAGGTGGTAACGTCGTGGTTGGTTACAAGTTGGGCTGCTAACCTCAAGGTCAGCAGTTCGAAACTTTCAGCAGTTCTGCTGGGAGAAAGGTGAAGTTTTCTGCTCCCATAAAGGTCTACAGCCTCAGAAACAGTATGCAAGATCACTATGAGTTGGAATCGACTCCACGGCACATAACCACCACCACTAGCAGTAGCAGGTGAATGGCCAACCAAAATTTATGTTTGTTTCTTTAAGTCTGCAACTGGCTGCTTATTCACTCATTTGGTGGGCCTGTACTGGACACTGTGTACAAAGTGCACAGTTCCCACCCTGAAGGGGGTCATAGTTCCAGATGTACATGGGAGGATGTACATAGGGCACAGCATGGCCGTGGCATAGTATGGAATAAGTTCTGGTTTAGGAAGCTAGGAGGAACAATGGCACATACTCTAGGAGTTTAGGCAATAGACTGGAGGGACAGCAATCATAGGTAAAGAACCATCATGAGGAAAGCAGTGAAGCATGGGAAAAACCCCAAAACCAGCTCAATGTTCCTGGTACTCTGAAAGGAGCTCTGGTAGTGTAGTGATTATGAATCGGGCTTCGAACCTTAAGGTCAGCAGTTCAAAACTACCAGCTGTTCCACAGGAGAAAGATGAGGCTTTCTGCTCCTGTAAAGATTTACAGCCTTGGAAACCCTGTACAGGGTCGCTATGGGTTGGAATCAACTCGACAGCACTTAACAACAACAACAACAACAATGTGTACAGTAAATGAAGAGAACTGAGGAAGAAAAGGCCAAAGAAGTGGGCTGTGGTGTGTGCAGAAGGCCTGGCACATATGGAGTTTGGGCTTCCAACTACAGAGCAGGTCTGAAGCCGCAGCTGGTTAAAACAACTCTCTTTTGGCAATTAGAAGAAGACCTTGAATCTGCAGCCGACCAGAGCAACTCTCTTTGTGTAGGTAGAAAACCATTAGTGTTAAGCCTTCTTTACACTTCCCTGTAGATAAATCAGCAGTTAACCTCCACTCTGAGGGCTGTTGCAGGAATGATGGAAAGCAACCATAGATCTTTGTGAAACCCCTGGTAATTGCCACGAACGTGAAGAAAACCGTGCTTATTGGAGACCACAGACCTATTTGAAGGGGTCAGCATGACTTGAGATAAACAGCAACAAAGAAGTTCTTGAAATTCCTCAGACCCGGTGTCCCAAATCCCTATTAATCCCCCTTCCCCTCAGGGAGGCAGTCTTTAGAGGACATGCAGTATACTGTTGTTTTCATTGTTGTTAGATGCCATCAAGTTGGCATCTAACAACATAGCAACCCTATGCACAACAGAACGAAACACTACCCAATCCTGGGCCAACCTCATAATTGTTGCCATGCTTGAGCCCAATGATGCTGCCACTTGGCCAGTCCATCTCTCTGGGGGTCTTCCTCTTTTTCTCTGACCTTACCAAACATGATATCCTTGTCCAGTGACTGGTCCCTTCTGACTAATATGTTCGAAGTATGAGAGATGAAGTTTCGCCATCCTGGCCTTGAGGACTAAGGTGCGCCTGACCCAAGCCATGGTCTTTTCAATAACCTCATATGCATGTGAAAGCTGGACAGTGAATAAGGAAGACTGTAGAAGAATTGATGCAATATACTACTATGCATTAAACATATCACATCCCTGTCTCCAAGTAATTGACTTTTTTTGCACCAGGTAGCCCAAGTCCCATCATTTCGTGGGCACAGATCCATCAGGAATGTTTGAGTATGAGAATTGCAATATTAGAGGAAGTCCTTTCTCTGTGGATTATTCTTAGGTTCTCATCACACAGAGGTGGAAGGGGTCCAGTTCTCACATTATTCAGATGAGAATGCGTTTGTGACTGTTTTCGTCAGGGTTGAGATTTTGGAGAGGAGATTCTCCCATGCAATAAGATAGCCAAAGTATTGTGATATATATCCACATTGAAAAACTCTAACAAAATAAAATAGAGGCCCACAAACTGTCTGTTTACCTGGGGTGGGGTGGGGGCAGATATTGGTGTCATTTATGTGCTCTGAACATTTAACAGATTGGTGGTGTAGGTTTTGTGTTCTACATGAGAAGAGGTTTCATATAGAAGACAAAATGATTGCATTATTTTTCTTTTGAAAAGAGCAAAGACATAAAAATGTGCTTAATGCTATTTACCTTAAAAATAAGATTTGTGGTCATTGACATCCTGCATATAATGTCTGTTATGGTAGCAACTGAGCTGCATGAAATCACCGGTGACCAAAAATGTAAGAAAACCTTTGGTGCTTATACATATGTTTTCATTAAAACAATTGCATGCCAGTAATGACTAGGAATACCTAGATAGAAAATGCAGCTGCTAGGCAGTAGTCTTTATGGGAGCAGGTCGCCTGTTCTGGATGGGTTCGAACCACTAACCTTTCGGTTAGTAGCAGAGTGAGGAGGAACCATAAGACCCAAAGAAAGGAAATGCACTTTTTTGCAGATGAATGTGGAGCATTTACTTTGTGTCTGATACAGTGCTGAGCATTGAATGATTTTATATATATAGTGTTCATTGCATTCTTGAAAGTGAGTTCTTTAGATTCTAGTGGATAAGAAGCATTTGGAGAGGCTGTTCTGGGAAGATACTTTTTTATAACAACCACCAGGTGTCAGCAGAGGACTTGAAACACTTGGTAACATCTGCATTCCTGGTTTTTTAGTTCTTTAAAGCCAGCCGCATTGGAACTTTTAAAAGGCAGCATACCTCCTGGGCCACCATCTCCTAAATATTAGTGCCAAGCACTTTGTCCTCAAGACCATGTCACAATGATTCCCTCTTGCCTTATAAAAGTGGCACTAGTTCCTTGATCTTCCTTTCTGATTTAGAGCTTTTAATTCTGTCTTTCGTGGCAATGGTTCTCCAGAGCCTAGGGGCTATTAGAGTGGAGGTTAGGGGTATATCACCAAGCTCTTGTATCTATTGAATCCTTCTCCCATAAGTAAGTGGAGGCCACCTTCACCAGATATGGGCAAAGATGTAGGGTCCATGCCTCTTCTCGCACAGAGAGATAATCTGAGGGTGGCCCCCACCTGTAGAGACAAGTTTTCTGAGAGTAAAGGAGAGGCCTAGGAGCCCTTACTGCCTCCGCCATTTGGTTTGTTGTACTTGATGGGGTTCACTCATATATGCTAAGGCCCAGTGTGTTGACTGACAGGGGAAGCCTTGGGGACATGAGTATTGATGTGTATTATACTCGTTCTCACCACTTTCTCATCTTGCTGTCTCACTTGAGTAGGCAAGCTAGACAGGGCTCTGAAGTGTTTGGTATGAGGCATTGGGCGGTAAAATTGAGCAAAACTGGAGACCTTCTTTCAAGCCTCTAATGGTGTCAGAAGTGCTGACAGTTATGAACAGGTTGCTAAGGTATTGGTAAATCGGAGGAGAGATCAGCCGTGGAGATAGCTGGAGACACAAAACCAACCGCTGACTTTAGCAGCTGTAACTGTTGGGGCATGTGGCCTGCAGGTGCCCCTGAGTCTACCCCCTTGACTCAAGGACTTGAGTTTAGACATTCCTTAGTTCCAGGTAGCAGACTTTGACAAATCACATTACGGTGAATTCCAACAATTATACAAATTCTTCTATTTGATATTAAATAAATGGAAAGATGGTGGCTCTGCAGGATACACAGTGGACTGTGAACCACAAGGTTGTCAGTTAGAGCCCACCAACTGCTCCATAGGAGAAAGATGATGCTTTCTGTCTGCTCCTGGAAACCCTGTCTTGGAAACCCTATACAGGGCTGCTATGAGTTGGAACTGACTCGATGACACATAACAACAATAACAGCATACTAAGTAAAAGAAGAGCACATCAGTAGGGATTCAGATATTTGGAATATTTTGTCCTTGTAGCGATCTTGTGATACTAGCCAAAGAAGATCACCTTGTTCCTGAAAACATCATGCAAGGGATACTCATGATACATGACATTTACACATGCTATCTAAGGAGCCCTGGTGTGGCGCTGTGGGCGAATGCGTCAGACTGCAAAGTCATTTGAATTGCAAGATCGGTGGTTCAAGCTCACCAGCTGCTCCTTGGAAACCCTATATAGGGTCGCTATGGGTCAGAACCGACTCGACAGCACTTAACAACAACATCTAAGAGGGTAGCTGGTGATTCTTACTGAGGTTGCAGCTGGGAGAAGGTTCTCAGACCTGTCGTAGGATATACTTTTTAAGCTGCTTTAAAAAAAAAAAAAATGTTATTGTTTGCTTCACTTCCGATTAATACTGTAACTACATCAAAGATCGTGTATGGGGTGGATCAAATTGTACAAAATCAGAATGGCCTTACTCTGTGATCTTTGTAGTCAATGGTTGTTGACATTTCATTTCCCGCTGCTTCCAGGAATTTTGCAGCAAGTGCCACCTTGCTCATGGATGCTTGAATCTTCCTATCCAGGCCACTTTGCATTAATTCTCACCTCTCTCAACAATGGTTTCACACTCTTTCCCTTCCCACTTTCAGATCACTGGTGTGATCCTGTTGGCTGTTGGAGTCTGGGGTAAACTTACTCTGGGCACCTATATCTCCCTGATTGCCGAGAACTCCACCAACGCTCCCTATGTGCTCATCGGAACCGGCACCACTATCGTCATTTTTGGCCTGTTTGGATGCTTTGCTACTTGCCGCGGCAGCCCATGGATGCTGAAACTGGTGAGTATGCCACAACACATAAGGGCTGCTTTTTCCAGTTGCGTTTGCATTCGAATATAAATCACATAAAGGTAAAGTGGCTCTTCCAGAACTCCTAGACAAGACCTAAAACCTTAATATTCATTAACTCTAATTTTAATCTAGACTCTTACTTAATCCATGCTTTGATCCCTCAGAGGGCAAAACAACCCCAAACTCAGCCTGGCACGATAAATCCAAACCCGGATCCCTCAAGGTATAGATGTTGACAAAACAGTGGTCAGCAATTCTGACAGGCCATTTATAGCCTCATGGCAAGGTGCCCTTGTTCCAGTTTCGAACTCTTGTCTTAGAAATCTCCTCAAGCATGTGATTTTCAGCTTTGGTGGGCAAGGCAGCATCCTGAACATACGCAGCCTTTCAATTCCAAGTTCTTGTTAGAGAAATACTTTCTGCCTCCTTGAGCGTGGCCATGCTTGGATGCATGTGCATGCTCTTCTCTAAACGCCATGAGTGTTGAGTTAAGCTAGAGCTTCCCTGCTCAGAGGGTTGATGCATTGCCAAGTAAGTGACTGACTACCTGGAGCAGTGCTGGGTGCCTTAACTCCTAATGGAACAGCCGAAGCAGTGATATTTCCCAAAGGGTAAGGGCTGACGTTGTTGAAATACTGTTAGTGTGATACTTAACTTTTTAGTAGACCAGTTGCCTAGCATGCTACTCACTGTCACTCTTTGTTCATGAGAAATGACATTGAAGGATTTTACAGATAACTATGGGCAAGGGTCTCCCCTCCAAAGAAAATGTTGTTTGAAAGGATTTATTTCAGATGTTCTCATTCTGAGCAAGGGAGGAGCAGGGAGTCTATCAGCACCAGTAATGAAGTGGTACCAGTAACACCTGGTGACTAGCCACAGCAAAGAAACCACAATTCAAGCTGCTACCAATCAGTCTCTTTGTTGGCAGCTTCCTGGAAGTGGTGCCAGATTTAGCCAAGTTCTGTCTTGTTCATACCTGGACCACCACTGATCCTTAGTGAAGCCGTATTGAGGGCTTTGTACTGCTGTCTTCTGCCACTCTATCTTAGCCCTCTGAGTCTACTAAGGTATCTTTGGATCTAGTGTTATGGTCATCAATCCTGACTGCATGTTAGAATCACTGGGGCAGGTTTACAGAGCAAACAAAACCTTGCCCAATCCCACCTCCATCTGACTAATTGGGCCTGGACATCACATTTTGTAAAAACTTCCCCAGGGGATTCTATTGTATTGCCTGTGTTTGAGAAGCTGTCGTTTAGTAGTATGAATGGAGCATTAACTGCAGAGACATAGAAAAGAAAAATTACTTTAAAACAAAACAATGCAAAGAAGGGAAAAACCACCTGTCCTAAATAGAGAAAGGGCCTTTGTCCCTAGTTATGACAGGAAAGTAGTGGACTAAATCACCAAGGTTTCTGATGCTCATTTGTTGTTCATTTGTTTGCGAGGGTGGCGGGGTGGTGGAGGGAGGCAGAACTGCCCCACGGCTGATTATAATGTCATAAATAGGATGTGTGTGCATACCATGGAATCCATACTCTGGCCTCTTCTGGAGGGAGTTTGACACCACACTGCCATTTTTGCTCCATGTTTTGCAAGGTCACTGGCAGGTGGACTTTTTGAGGAGTAGGAGAAGTCTTTTTCCATTTTTGTTTTTGTTTGCCATTGGAGACTGTCATTTAGTTCCTTTGAAGTGCTAGAGGCTGTACTGGGCACTGGGCACTGGGCACTGGGCACAAATTTCACTTTATTCCTCCATCACCACCACCAGTGAAGATGTAGATCATATTTTCCATTGTGTGATGGAGACTTGCAGGTTAATGGGTTGTTCAAGCACACCGGCTGCTCCTCAGAAGCCTTATACAGGGTTGCTAAGTGTTAGAACCGACTCGACGGCACATAACAACAACAAAAGCCATGACTATTTTGTCTGCAATGTTTTCATTTGGGAAGAAAAACTATAGTCCCTGTCACCTCTATTTGGACTCATGGTGTCACACTGTAGGATCAGCACTGGACTGCGAACCCACAAGGTCAACAGTTCAAACCCACCTGCCACTCCCTCAGAAGCCCTATACAGAGTCTCTATGGGTCGTAATCGACTTGACGGCACTTAACAACAACAACTTCTGTTTAGTACAAGCTCAAGCTCTTCCCAATAGCTTTTTGACCAAGGCCTTCTGAAACTGAAGTGGCTGCTCTTTGGAAGTGTCTAGATACAGTGGATTTCCCAGAGTCCAGAGAGGCGCTGCTCTGGCTAATGAGAGTGGAAGTCACGTACTTTGAACAATCTAGAATTTCACAATCCTCATTTAATGGCATTAATCTCAAAACAACTGCAAATAACTATTTCCCCTTTCTAGAGGTCCAGAGAGACTGTCTTTCTCTTAAGAATTAGTCCTTTACAAGGTTAGGACACACACCTCGGAGGACTTCTGACAGTAATTTCAAATGTCCTTTCTCCCCCCTGTCTCCTGGCCATGACTTTCCTGCACGACTTTCTAGTGCAGCATAGGCCTGGTGTGAGACTCTCTAGAGAGCGGAGGGTGTGTCTGATTGCATTGTCTAATTTGAGACAGCGTTGAAAGAGAAGCTGAATACAGTACATGGGGTAGTCTACCCACAATGACATGTTTGCTATGTGACTGGCTGGGCTTTAAGGGGTTTTTTAGGGCATTTTCAAATTTAGAGAGAAATTGACATTTAAAACTAGCATTCCCTTCTTTTAATATATGTGCCACTAACTGAGAAAAATAATTTATGGGTTAATGTGCATACGTATACTTTACAAGCCATGTATACTATACAGGTAAGTAATATAGCCATGTATATAACCTGTTATCCAATTCTACAGCAGAATTCGGAGTCCTGGTGTGGTGTTGTAGGGTAACCATGGGATTGCTAACCACAAGGTCAGCACTTCAAATCCACCAGTTGCTTCTAGGAAACCCTATACAGGGTCTCTATGAGTTGGAACTGACTCAACTGCACTTAATAACAACAACATCATCTTTTAAGGGCCATTGGAAACATTCAGAACCACTGTATTTTATTCTGAGATGGGAAGTCTGGTGTAATCGTAGTGTCTTGTTCTTTAAGCAATCTATTTGCTTTCCCTCTATCTGCCTTTGAAAGTCACAAAAATGGAAACCACTAATGTCCTATAAGGACTCTTGGTGTGGCGCTGTAGGATCGGCCCTGGACTGTGAACCACAAGGTCGGCAGTTTAAACCCACCAGTTGCTCCTCGGAAACCCTGTACAGCGTTGCTATGAGTTGGAACCAACTCGATGGCACCTAACAGCAACCACGACAATGTCTCGTAAACCTGTTGCCATCGAGTGCATTCTGATTCCTAGTGACCCTATAGGACAAGGTAGAAGTGCTGCTTAGGGTTTATGACACTGTAAATCTTTACTGGAGCAGACAGCCTCATCTTTCTCCTGCAGTTAGCAGCCCAATATCTAACCCACAGCACCACCGGGACTCATAATGTCTAACAAGTACCATATTATTCGACATGAATGTGTAAAATAGTCCTGAACTTTGGCTCAGACATGTACAAAGTCCACTTGGAAAATCTAGGATGCATGAGATGAGCAGGAAGCACTAAGGAGCATTAGGTGCTTGCAGTCCTGTTTAGTACTCTAACGGATTTGCTTTTTTAAAAGGCAGCAAACTCCACATAGTATCCAGAACAAGAGTGGTCAGCTGCCCCACTGGATGATGCTATGAGGTGTTGCATTCAGAAATGACTACCATACTGCAGAGGAATGTCCTCCGGTACATATTCTGGCCTTTCAGCCAGGATGTGAAGAATACAATTTCAAACTCAGAGCTTTTGAAGCTGTTTCATAAAAGATGAGATTGAGAAAACCACAGGGGTTTACCCAAATCAAGAAAAGCAGCAAGTGCGCAGCCTGGCTGTGTTCACACATATGAAAAGCCAGAGTATAGATGAAGGGTTGGGCTGGTTCCGTGGGTCTCTTAGAAACAGAACCAGCACCAGAGTGTCAAAGTTGCAAGTAGAAAGAGACTCCTCACCACGAAAGAAGAAATCTTCCCAATAATTGCAGTGATTTTAAAAAAGAAAGGGTGGCAGAGGGTGGGGGAGTGGGTGGAGTCATTGGGACACACAGACGCCCATCATGCAGAAGTAGTGCAGAAAGGCCCCCAAGACAGGGTAGAGCAATATCCTGTGACCTCGAGTTCCTCCTAGCTCAAAGATGGTAGTGGTCAAAAGAGTGGACTTTTTAGTTGTTGTGAAAGGCCTTCCTGGTATTTCAGGGTTGAACCTGACAGTACAACGCCAGTCGCTTGAACTCTCTTCAATATGTGCACCCCAAAATGCTACATGTATATTAGACAGACCCACCCCTATACTTGAGCTCATGTGGGTAAATCTGGAGAAAATATTTGCTACGCTTTCTCTGGGAAGTGTGACTCTTTGTCTGATTCCTCCTGACAAGGTTTAAACTAACCTGAAGAAGTGCAGCTCCTAATGCTGACACATCTGACTGTGTCCTTCTCCACTTGATTTTCAGTATGCCATGTTTTTGTCGCTGGTGTTCCTGGCTGAGCTCGTAGCTGGCATTTCAGGGTTTGTGTTTCGTCATGAGGTAAGTGTACAGAAATTGGTCTAAGAACTCAATCAAAGGGTCTTTGGAAGGAGAGTTTTTGAAATGTGGAAATACGGTGCATATTTGCTCTCTGGTTTCTCCAGTGCTATTGCTCGTTTCCAGCGTTAATGTAGTATGAGCTGAAATGCCAATAAAAATGCTCAATGCAGGAATTTCAGCAAACTTGAAGCCTTAGTTACTGATCCTCATTTCTATTTTTCTATCTAACTATTGCATAAAATGATTCTCCAACCAGGTTTGAAGCAGCAACCTTCAATGTGGGTCAAACACTCCTTTTTAAAGAGCTGCTTTAGCAGTGCACATGTACTAGAGGGCTTCAAAAACTTTGTGGCAAGACAGAATTAAAAGATAATGGAATTTTTCACAAACTTTCTGAAGCTCTTTCACGTAGCAATGTAACCAAAGATTTCTGATACTCCAAAGCGAAGCCAAACAAATTTTCATGCTGCCTTGTACATCCCAGGAGCTCTGGTAGCATAGTGGTTATGAATCGGGCTGCTAATCACACGGTCAACAGTTCAAAACTACCAGCTGTTCCGTGGGAGAAAGATCCCAGAGCTACTCACCCAAGCAAGATGTGTATCTGTTTTTTGTATCTCCTAAACAGCAGTGAAACCATAAACAGATACACATATGTTTATGGTGGTGGTGGTGGTTATGTGCGTGGAGTCGGTTCCGACTCATGGCCACCCTGTATAGGGTTTCCGAGGCTATAAATCTTTATGGGAGCAGAAAGCCTCATCTTTTTCCTGTGGAACCACTGATAGTTTCGAACTGCTGACTTTGAGGTTAGCAGCCCAATCCATAACCACTACGTTACTAGAGCTCCTTCACATATGTTTATAAAAGGGGGAAACATTGCCAGAGAAAGTTAGAAGCACACTAAAGGAGCATGTTACTGTGGCTCTTGAAAGCCTGGCATCAGCTCTTCGCAGGCTCTGCTATTGTGCTTGGCCAGCTTCAATTCCCAGTGAGTTTGCCTTGTATGCTTTCCCCCTATTGCCTTGGCTTTTCCTTTTACTGGGTAACAACAAAACTTACTCTAGGACCCACTTCATATTGATGCCACACACAGAGTTAGATCCTTTGTACTTATCCACAGGTGAGGTCATAGCCTCCACAGCCCTGTAGGTGCTCCCAGTGCAGCTTGGTTTGCTCCCAACTGAGCCGTTACTCACACTCCTCCTCCGTGCTCCTGGAACTATCCTCCACAAAGGAGCCTTTCTCTTAATGGCTTCTGAGATCGAAGATGTGGAAATGTACATCTACCTAAACTCTTTTCATCTGAAACACTTAGGGATGGGGGTTGTATGGCCACTTTCTGAGGATCTGTAGTGCTCTTGAGTTCAGCTAAACTGTCAAGACAGTAGGTCACACTTAGCACTGAAGGATATAGTAAAGGAAGCATGGTCTGCCTGCAGGGCAGTTGAAGCAAGCTGGCTTCTTCAGCAAGAGTCCTCACCGTGGTCCAGGGCCTATTCCATGTACACCTGAGACAACTCAGGTGCAAGGGAATGCGACCAAGCAGGTGGCTGTAGTGGGCATTTTGGCTTAGAAGCTTCATGTAACTAGTGTCCCTCCCCTATACTAACTGTCACATGAGCAGAGCTTCTAGTATCCCAGAAAGGAACATGCCTACTTATGAAAGTCACCATATTTAGCCCAAGTAATTATTTTTATTTGTAGCCCTCCCAGTCCAGAAGCATTTCATCCGTTGGGGGTCAGTTTTACCAAATGCAGTGTTGCCTGGTAACACACCTGGCATTCCACCTTTATCAGGTTTCCAGGGGAACAGAGCTTGAAAGTTAACCCAAGGTCAGATGCCTTTATAAAGAAGGAGAAAAGATTTTGTTAACCCTTTATTAACATAAAAAGTTCTTGTTCTTCAGCCTCCTTTTTGGCCTCAATAAAGATGAGTGAAATTTGATTTTGTCTAACTCCTGTATGATAGAATAGAGATACTTTTCTGGTGAAAGCATCAGGTTTTCAAACCCTGCAATGGCCTGTCCATTATCATTCTTCTGAGTAAGGAGAGAGTTATAGAAAGATAGGCATTAATCAAGCCAAAGAAATATCTAGAAAACTCAGGCCCGAGTTTGGCAACTCAGCATCACAGCTCTTGCAGAAATCAACTAACCACTTCAGTGGGCAATTTAACAAGTGAGATTTTAAATGGGAATAATTTTTTTTTTTTTCAATTTAATTCTTGAGCTTGTAAACCCCTTAGATATTTTTTAGCTATTTTGTCTGAGAAAATGGGGCACTCTCTCACTGACCGACGGTTGTTTCAAGACAATCAGAAGAGGCTATTGTGGTGTAGGCACTGGTATGAATCTGAGTCATTTGGGCTGCAGTGGACTGGAACCATATTCTTCCTTGTCTTCCATAGATCAAGGACACCTTCCTGAGGACTTACACAGATGCCATGCAGAATTACAATGGGAACGACGAACGAAGCCGGGCTGTGGATCATGTGCAGCGCAGCGTAAGTTCCAGGGTGGGAGACTGGGATGGAAATGGCCGGTGAGGTCTGGGCTTACCTCTGCTGTCTGCTGTGGTAATATTGGGTCAGTGGCATTTCCTTTTGATTCCTGTCCAGTTCCGTTTGTAAGGTTGACATCAGTGCTTGCCCAGGCTCCAGTTATCCATGTAATTAGGGTCCAGTGTGCCTTTCATGTGTCAGGATTGTGAGCATCCTGTAGAAAGTGAGTTTGCCCTTAGCATCTGAACGCATCAGGAAGAAGGTCTTCTTGTTGTTAATTGCCATTGAATCAACTCCGACCCATAACGACCCTGTATAGGATTCCCAAGGAGCAGCTGGTGAGCTTGAACTGCTGACCTTGCAGTTCAAATGGCTTTGCAGTCTGGCACATTACCCCACAGCGCCAACACCAGGACTCCCAGGAAGAAGGTAGGCAGTGAGTATATGAAAGCATAGCTTAGAGCTGCCTCCCAAAGCCTGGTTTTCTGGAAGTGGTACTTTAGGCCTCTGGTGACCTGTGTTCACTGGCTTATACAGTATAGTAGGGGCAGAGAGTGGACATAGCAGAGAGGAAGCTGAGGATCTGCCAGCTATGTGAGTGGCCTAAGCTGCCTGGTGCTTGTAGAAGATTTGAAGGCAATCAAAGAGATGTTTCTCACCTGGAGGCGCTCATGGTGGCAGGTGCTGGTGCTCATCAAGATCACCTGGGGAGTTCCTGGTGGCACACTTTTTTTTTTTCTTCCGAAGTAGTCATTTCATTTCTGTTTGGTTGGTAATTGATCATATGTCAAACTGATTGCGTTTCAAGTGTAGTAATAATCATTCCTGTATCCCTTTTACCCAGATTTACCACTTGATTATATTTTTGTCCCTTGTGATTTTATATTCCACATATCAGGGGTCAGGAAACTGTTTCTGTAAAGGATCAAAGAGCAAATATTTTAGGTTTTGAGTACCGTCTAATCTTTGTTATAATCACTCCAGTCTGGTGTTGTAGCAAGAAAACACAACATGTTGTTGTTAGGTGCTGCCAAGTCGGTTCCAATTCATAGCGACCCTGTATAGGGTTTCTGAGGCTGTAAATCTTTATGGAAGCAGAAAGCCTCCTCTTTCTCATTTGGAGTGCCTGGAGGGTTTGAACTGCTGATCTTGTGGTTAACAGTCCAGTGTTTATCCTACAGCACCACCAACGCTTCCCAAACAACAACAGACAGTGCATAAACAAACAGGTGTGGTTATATCGCAATAAAGCTTTATTTACAAAAACGGGCAGCAGCTAGGCTGCAGTTTGCCAACACCTGGTCTGCCTCTCCACGTGCATCTCTTTCTTTCTGAACTATTTGTTTACAGATCATAGCCATCCTGTGGGGAGCTTTCTAAAAGCACACTTGCCTTGCCTCCCCCACCAGCAATCCTGAGATAGTTGATCTAGGCAGCACCTAACTCACAGGTGCTGTCGATGCTTAGCCAAGGCTGAGAACCACAGTTTGCGGCTATGGTACGAAAGCCCACATGATACATCTAGAGCAGGGATGTGGAACGTCTGACCTACAGGCCGTATGTTGTTGTTGTTGTTGTTAAGTTCCAACTCATAGTGACCCTGTGTAGGGTTTCCAAGGAGAGGCTGGTGAACTTGAACCGCAGGCCTTGTGGTTCAAATGGACCTTGCAGTCTAGCTCATTAACCCACAGCGCCACCAGAGAAAGCATTTGGTCTGGCTCTGCCAAGGCAACCACAGTTCCAGCCATCCCACATTGTTGTTGTTGTTGTTATGTGCTGTGGAGTCAGTTCCGACCCATAGTGACCCTGTACAGGGTTTTCCAAGTCTGTAAGTCTTTACGGGAGCAGAAAGCCTCAGAAGAGCTGGTAGTTTCGAACTGCTGAACTTGCGCTACCAGAGCTACCAGAGCTCCTTAGAGCTCCTTTTGTTGTTGTTGTTAAGTGCCATCGAGTCGGTTCCGACCCATAGCGACCCTGTACAGGGTTTCTGAGGGTGTAAATCTTTACGGGAGTAGAAAGCCTCATCTTTCTCCCGCGGAGCGGCTGGTAGTTTCGAACTGCTGACCTTAAAGGTTCGCAGCCCGATTCGTAACCACTATGCTACCAGAGCTCCTTTTAGGAGTAAATTAATTACGGCCCGTGAATGATGTTATAAATTTTGGCAGAATAAAAGGTACCCCATCTGGAGTCCTGGTATGGTGCTGTAGGATAAGCCCTTGACCTCAAGATCTGTTTGAATCACAAGGTCAGCAGTTCAAACTCACCAGCCACTCCTTAGCTACCCTATATAAGGCAGCTATGAGTTGGAACCGACTTGACGGCACTTAACAACAACTACAAGAACAAAAACCCCTGATCTAGAACGAAATTCCTTCTCTGAGCTCAAATGGGCATCACAGTGAGTATAATTGTTAGTGGAAGGAGCTTCTATTCATCTTTACTCATTAAACCTGTGCATGTTGCCTTCTGGATTGGGCCTAGGTTTCTCCTTTTAAAATTGCTGGGCAATGAGTGCGGAGACCACAATGTCTTTGATCCGCCACTCTGATTCTTTCTCTTTTTCTGTTAATAGCTCAGCTGCTGTGGCGTTCAGAACTACACCAACTGGAGCACCAGCCCCTACTTCCTGGAGCATGGCATCCCCCCCAGTTGCTGCATGAACGAAACCGACTGCAATCCCCAGGATCTACACAATCTGACTGTGGCTGCCACCAAAGTTAACCAGAAGGTACCTAGCAGTCCTGATGAGATCTGGGCTGAGTGTTTGGATGAGGGCTTTCTTGTGTCTGTGAAAATTTGGACAAGTAGATTAGAAATGATAGCCTAAGAAGAAGTCAAGAGTCCTCCTTTGTGGTTCTTTATTACCTAGAGAGGCACTTGAGGCTGCCCACTTCTGAAAGAGGAGCTATGAGTCACTCAGCCTTGCATTTTTCTCCCTCAATAAGAATATACCAGGCTGCTAGGAAGATTTAGCAAGTGGTTCCTGTTCAGCCTGATGCTTATGCCAGACAGAGAATGTTGGCGTTCTTCTCTCTAGGTGTCTGTCTTCTGCTTAACATGCCTTCTAGATATGAAATGATTTGTCGCTGGATGCCAGTCTTTAGCCAAAAGAGAGGAGTGGAGTTGACAGACAGCATCTGCTTCTACCAGGAAATTAGCCTTGATTTTAGGGAGCTCTTTGCTATACGGAATGGAATAAGCACCAGAAAGTCAACTGTTCAATCCCACCAGCTGCTTTTCTGGAGAAACAGCCTACTGATCTGCTTTTGTGAACATTACAGCCTAGGAAACGTTATGGGGCAGGTCTACTCTGTCATATAGGGTTGTTCCGAGACCGAGTTGACTTGAAGGAACACAGCACCAAGTTTAACTCACTGTAAGCATCTTGGCTCCCAAAAATCTTGGAGAAAAAGATGGTTAAAAGAGATTTTAGAGTTAGTAGATAGTGGAAATGAAGGAGATGAAATTTGAGTAGGAAGAAAAGAGGAAAATCAATTCTGCGTTCCACTTTGCAGAAAACACAATGAAGACATGATACAACTGGTCTAAAGGCTGTTGACATTCTTAAACTTTGAGAGAAATGCTAGATATAAGCACTGTTAAAACAAAAATGGGGGAAAATGTATTGAGTTTAGTGTTAGTTATATAGGCATGGGGTAAGTGTTCTTATCTTACTGAGATAAAATCATGATGATGATGATGGTGAAGTTTGTCTTCTACGACACTGGCTTTTATGAGGGGGACTTCAGAAAGTTCATGGAAAACATGAAATGAAAAGGTAATGGAATTTTTTCATGGATTTCATCAATGCAGCAGGTCCTTGCCTTGTAAGGAAGATCTTTTGTTGGTATCTAAAAGCAAGCTTGAAGGCATATCCTATGGTGTACCTAAATCAATTTTCAGAAGGAAAGATAGAGTAGCGTTTTTTTGTTTGTTTCATTGCCAAACTATTAACTAACCTCACTCTTTGCCTCGCCTCTCCCGGGGCTCCTCAAATAGCCGGGAAAGGTGCTTAACATGTCTCTCAGTTCTCTTATGTTGTCCTGCCTTGAGAAAACTGAGTTTCATGAAACATCCTCATTTAATGTTCCTACGAACCCTGACACAAATTATTCCTCCTGTCTTATTCTCAGACATTGCATGGGAAAAAGTTGGGATATGAGGATAGGTTAGAGCTAGTAATAGTAAATGCCCATAAAGGTTAGTCCTCTACCTCTATTCTTCCTACTCCAAGAGGCCTTATCTACTGCCACATTCAACTTCAGTAGTTGGAATTCTATTATTAAGAAGAAATGGATCATCCCTACAGATCATTTGATGTCTTCAGTTCTATACTCTGATAGCTCAGAAAGATGACCCTTGGCTCTTACCTGGAAGCATGCATGAGAAATCTACCTTACACAGATAACTGAGAAGGGAGCAGGAGGGAGGAGAGAAGTGAACAGCTAAACATGATATTTATTGTTTGGTTTGGGGGGCAGGTATTATTTTGGTTTCACTAGCAAGATGATGGCTTATCTCAGGTTCAGTTGACTTGTTCAGGTTCAGTTCAGTTGAATTCAGGTTCAGTTGAATTGTTGCATTGTTTGAGCCCCTTAGGGTCCATAGGGATGGATCCCTTGAAATTTTGTGAGAGCAGAGCATTCTGGATGGCAGCTGCTGAGATACCTCTTCACAGAACCTGTCTGGGTTTCGCTGTCTCCTAGTATTGAGACCCACTTTGCAGATGTTTTCCATTAGCCACTATGTTGATTTAGACATGCTGAGAGGTTGAGCAAATTAACTGTTCTATTTCTGAACATTTTCTAGGATGCTCAGCAGGTCTCCATAAATGTATGTTGCACAATGCCAGACAATCAGACTTTCATTTTCAGAAATTAAAGGACAAGTTGTGTTAAGATAAGATCTCGATTTAGTGGAGAATTTAAGGTTGAGTGCAAATGTGGCCTGTGGTGTAGTGTTAGAGCAGTTCTTGCCGTCTGCATACCTATGCTGAGATCGGGAAATGGGCTTGTGGGTCTAGGTGGTAAATGACAGAGACAAATCGGGAGATGGAAAGCAGTGATTTCAACGTTAGCCTTTTATTGTTTAACCAACAACAACAATAAAGGCAAAATTATGTTCTCCTTCAAATTTTAAGTAATGGCAAAAATGTTGTAGGGGCAGGCTTTACAAGGGGGAAGGAGATTGAAACTCAAAATCAGCCCAAGGCCGATTCCTATGAAGCAGAATTTAGACATGCCTCCACCTTACAACCTTCTTTACCCTATTCTGACACAAACCATCCAATCTCATGGCACTTGCTTCACATCTGGGTTCAATAATCCATTGCAATGACTACACAAAACTCACAAAAAAACTCACGATTATGGAGACTATTAGGGATGTGAACAGGGTACATTAAAGATCAGAAACTACTCAGAAAGCACAGTTTTCCAGTCAGGGACACCTCTTCTCTGCCTTACTGCAGGCACACCTTGCTCTTGTCTTTGGCCTCTCAGCTATGTGACCCCCCTCGGCCTCTTCCCTGCTCAGGCAAGTGTTCTAAAACTCCTTTAGCTGGCCTGTACATATCCAAAGGGCATGTTGTCCTGCTCATAGTCACTCAGCTTGCCTTGGTCCATGGGCCTAGAAGCCCGCAGCTGCTCTGTCTCTCCATGCGGTCAATTGTTGCCGAATTTCCAGGTAGGAATCTCATGCTCCACGCATGCTCTTCTTTCTTGCTAGTCCTGGGATCGTCTGTTCTGCTTCTGAGATGGCTCCTTTTAAATCTACTGGGGTGGCAAAACTAACCAATCCCAGCATTAGAACCCTATACACACCCTATTTGCATGGTCCTACCTAAACATTGGAGTCCTGGTGTGGCGCTGTGGGCTAATGTGTCAGACTGCAAAGTCAGTGGCTCAAGCTCACCAGCTGCTCCTTGGAAACCCTATACAGGGCTGCTTTGGGTCAGAACCAACTTGATGGCACTTAACAACAACAACCCAATCATTTGGTGGGAATTAAGATTTTTGGATAGAAAAGCAATGCTAAATAAATCCAGGGTATCACAGTAATCCAATTACTGATATAATTCATTAATTTACTTATTTGAAAGAAAAAAAGAAAGCAACTGGAGTTGAGTGTGAGAGTCTTCATTTCCAGCACATTCTCCGGTGAGACTGATGATGCCCATCCAAGGACCACCCTTTGAAGATCAAGATTTAGGGAAAACCATTTTGCCAAAAAAGCACCAAAGCAAGCCAGGAAGTTACTTCAATTTTCTGTTTTCTTTCACTTGTTAAAGTGGGCTTATCAAAAAATAGTGTGACTGAAACTAATCTTCAATGTTGTATGGAATGGCAAGAGGCCCTAAATAGCTAAAGTAGTCTTGAAAGAGGAAGATTCCCATTTCCGGATTTTAAAACAACTACAGTAAGCAACTACAGTAATAGACCAGCGTGGCACTGGTGTAACAATAGACACATAGACCAATGGAATAGAATTGAGAGTCCAGAAGGAAGCCCACATAGCTATAATTAACTGATTCTTGACAAGGGTGCTAAATCCAATCAATGAGAGAAGAAGAATTTCTTCAATAAACGGTGCTGGAGAAATTGAATTTCCACATGCAGAAAAATGAAACCGGATGCCTGCCTCACGCGATATGCCAAAACGAACTCAAAGAGGATTAAGGATCTAAATATACAAACTAAACCCATAAAATTCTTAGAAGAAAAAGCAGGGGTAATACTGTTGGGCCTAGCTTTAGCAACAGATTATCTAATATAATAAACAAAAGCAAACACAGCAAAAGACAAAATAAATGGGACCTCATAAAAATTAAAAACATTTGTTCATCAAAAGACAAGAGAAAAGACAAGCTACCAACTAGGAGAATATTTTCAGAAACCGTATATCTAACAAGAATCTAATAACCAAAATAATATGCAAAACTTCAACAACTTAACAAGACAGATCTTAAAATAAGCCAAAGATTTGAATAGATATTTCACCAAAGAGGGCATTCTAAAGGCCACCGAACAAACACATGAGAAGATGCTCAGTGTCATTAGCTATCAGAAAAATGCAAATTAAAAAAAATTCACAATGGGATACAATTTTATTCCCACTAGAATGGCTGAGATTTAAAAACAAAACCAAACTCCAGAAAATAACAATACTGGCTCAGATATGGGGAAATTAGAACCCTTATCCATTACTGGTAGGAATGTAAAATGGTACAGCTGTTGTAAAAAAAAGTTTGGCCTTTTCTCAAAAAGCTAAAACTAGATCTAGCATATGACCCAGCAATTCCACTTCTAGGTATGCACCCAAAAGAGACTTGTCCACTAGTATTCATTGGAGCACGATTCACAATAGCCAAAAGGTAGAAACAACCTAAATTTAGCCTATCAACAGATGAATGGATAAGCAAAATATGGTACATACATACATATATACAATGGAATACTACGTAGCTAGTAGGAGCAATGAAGTCTTGAAACATGCTATAATATGCAAGGAGTTGGAAGGCATGCTGAGTGAAATAAGTCAACTACAAATGGACAAATATTGTATGAGCTTAATATAAAAAGACAAGGAAAGTAAATGTATAGAGACCAAAGTTTATTAGTGGTTACAGTCCTGGTGTGGTGCTGTCTGATAAGCACTGGACTGCTAACAAGGTCAGCGGTGTTGGAACCGACTCCACAGCACATAACAACAACAACCTTACCCTGTTTATTAAGTCAGTGTCTTAATTTTTCACAGACTGTATATATTCAGAATTCCTGGTGTGGTGTATAAGCACTGGACTGGTAACTGCAAGGTTAGCTCCTTGGAAACCCTATAGAGGGTTGCCATGTGTTGGAACTGACTCGATGGCACTTAACAACAATATATATATTCAAGTGATGCCTTTTTAGTACACTGATGATTTATTCAGGCCTCTGGATTGATTCAGCTTGGGGGCAGACACACATGAGGTCCTACTGGTTGGCCTACATTTTTATTATAAGTGATGCACAAAATTTGGTGTGTGAAGTGCTGTAGGATAATCACTGGAGTGTTTACTACAGTGTAAGCGGTTCAAAGCCACCAGCCGCTCCTCAGAAACCCTATCCTAGATTGGTCTGAGTCAGAACTGGCTCAGTGTCACTTAACAAGAACAGCACCTGGACTAGGTTGACAAATATAATTCAGGATTAACAATAGCAAATAAGCATGTATAACATATTGGAGTTGAACTTCAACCAAGATCATTCCTCTTTAAGAATGATCATTAATTCTTTATCAGTTTTAAACTAATATTGAAATTTGTGATACTTGTTGGTTTGAATCATGGATATTAGTGATTTTATATTACGTTAGAGGGAAATTCACCTTGTTTGGAATGAAATTACTGTCATCTGGAAACAGGAAGTGATGTGCAAATCACATAGCAAGTTTATGGAAAAGAAGATTCTGTTGTTGTGGTTAAGTGCCGTCAAGTCAGTTCCGACCCATAGCAACCCTGTTTAGGGTTTCCGAGGAGCAGCTGGTGAGCTTGAACCGCCGACCTTGCAGTGTAACGGCTTTGCAGTCTGACACATTAACCTGATTCTAGAACATAGTTTTTTCCTATTTAAGAAAATAACAAATCAATAGTCTTCCTAAAGAGAACTCTAGAACTCCATAAACTGCAGGAGTTCAAACACCTCCCTCCAGTCAGATAATATTTTTTAATCCAACATTTTGTCATTTATTTAAAAATTCTTATTACTTTCATGATATCTGTAGTGCTTTCCTCATATAGCCTGTAGCTTTCTTGCTAAATTTAATCCTACTCCATGAAATATGTCTCAGAGTTGCCTGGAAATAATCCAGCGGACAGATGGCATTGAAGATGTTTAGTAAAACTAGATTGGCCTTATGTAATTGTGATGTTAAGGGAAGGGACTCTTTTCGAGATTTTTCATTATTTTTGTGAAGTTTTAAAACAATGCTAATACGTTTCTAGGTCAATTGCAGTTGTATTTGCTGAATTTAGGTCGGGGTACATGAAGTTACCATGAGTTGGAATTAAGTCAACAGCAACTGGCGAGTGGGGGCATAAGGAGCTCTGGTAGCATAGTAGTTACTAGTTGGGCTGCTAACCTTAATGTCAGCAGTTCAAAAGATTTACAGCAGTTTGAAAGATGAGGCTTTCTGCTCCCATAAAGATTTACAGCATTGGAAACCCTCTACAGGGTCGCTAGGAGTTGAAACCAACTTGATGACACACAACCACCGTCAGCAACAGGGACATTGGTGGTTTCAGTGGTAGAATCAGAATCAGGTCCCACTTCCATGTGGGGGACCTGGGTTTGATTTCCCTCCCAGAGCACCTAGTGCTGAGCCACTACCCATCTGTCAGTGGTGGCTTGTGTGTTGCTATTGATGTTGAACAGGTCTCAAGGGGTGGGGGGGCTTCCAGACTGAGAGAGACTTGAAAGAAAAGCCTCATAATCTGCTGCTGATGTGGATCCCAGCAGTCTAATCTGGGTCATGGGGGTGACACAGGACCCGGCAGCATCTTGTTCTATTGTGCATGGGGTCACTAGGAGTTGGGTGCCAACTTAACAAGTGTTAACCACCAATAGCAACACGTGGGAGCTTTGTAAGTGAACACAGCTCAGTGTGGCCCAGGTACAACGTGTCTCAGAGCACTCTCTTGTTCCAGGGGTGTTATGACCTGGTGACCAGTTTCATGGAGACTAACATGGGAATCATCGCTGGAGTGGCTTTTGGAATTGCGTTCTCCCAGGTATCGTATGTGATTGTGCGTCGCCTTGTCTGTCCTTTTCCCCTGTCTCCTACTCTCCTTTCTTTGCCTAGTTTCCAGACTCTCGGCCTGCCTCCCTGGGCCTTGGGAAAGGCTGATAGATGGGGTCAGAGCACCGTGCTCATTAGTCCTCAGGTCATCCGTTTATTGATTTTCCTTTTTCCAACTTAAATGAAGTTTTGCCATCAAGAGAATATCGTTTGCAGTTCAACTAATGACTAGCTCTAGAAAAACAACTTGTTTCTTCTGTGGGTCAAATGTAGGTTAACTGAACAAAGTGCTGCTTAATTGGAGCATAAACAACTCAAAACATCAAATGGCTGATCTGGGTTTGAGGGAGGCTTTTTTTCCTGGTTGACCTGTCCCTTTCTTGTTGTCTCTTTGGCTCTTAGTTCCTGTGGACTATGCATGCAAGCTCTTAATTTTAAAGAAAGCCTAAATTCAACAACCTTCATTTTGTGGTCCTTATTTTAATCTTAGGGTTTGACTATTGTCTTTTTAAATCAAATTTGTATATTGAATTTTATTTCCCTTTATCTACACTCAGTCTTTAAAACAAAATGGGAGGGAAACATTCAAAGTGAATGAGCCACAATTCCTCTCGGATGGAACAAGTTTCTAATGTAGCCTATCTCTGCCAGGTAGTATACCCATGCTATCCCATAGACCTTTGATCTCCCAACCAAATGATGCACTACTGTGATATTATTGCTATGGTGGAAGGAGCAACATTTCTATTTAGTGACCAAATATAATCTTTATTTACCTTTAACTCAGATTTTTTTTTTTTCTTAGAGCAATGGATTGTTTTTGAAATAAAGTCGAATTAATGTTATCTCAGTAATATTCCCACTGCTCTGATTTCACTTCCCTAAATCTGGTATTGGCTATCTCAGACTCTAATTATTTATGTCTGCCCTCCATTTTCCCTGCATGTACACTTTCATTTTATTCGTTTTTGTTTTTAGATTTATTTAAATATGACATATACAGAAAGTACATAAATTGTATGTCCACAGCTGAATCAATGATCACAAAATGACCATAGTTAATTGAACATTAGCCTGATAGTTTGATTTTGCAACAGGCTTAGCCTTAGATAAGTAGAAAAGTTTTTCTTCCCCAGCAGACATAAAAACATGTGTGATGTTTTCATTTCACAAGAGCCTGTAGGCTTAGCCAGCGTGAGTGGATATTTCTTGTTGCCATTTCAAAATTCTCTTTTGCCTGTGCTTCCTTTGTAGCAGCTCATGAAGTGAATTAAACCCTGGGCATGCTAGTACACAGACAAGCCAGTGTAGTGTCACAAACATCGCCTATTAGCCAAATCTCCAGAGACATTTCCCAAGCAATCACTGCTGTGAACTGTATCCCAGTTGTGACAGTATTTCAGTAATAACACTTCCGGAGCAGCCCTGTGATGGCGGGGGAGGGGCGTTTTAGAAGATGAGGAGCCTCTGGACTGATGCAAATGTACAGGATGCACTTGACAATCTTGGAAATCTGTTAACATGTCTAGGTGTGCATCCAGTCATTAGCACTGAAAAGGCAGACTTTGTGTGTGTGTGTCATCTGAGAGGACTGTCCCCCTGAAGGAAAGAGTATTGCTGAAGTCTCCCTAATGACTGTCTTAGTGCCATACAAGAATGTGATGTTAAGGGAACGTACATAAGGAGAAGAGGACCTCAAAGAGCCTAGAGCCCATGGATGGAAACTTTTACCACCTGAGAATATTAGACAGAGGAGAAGAGAGGGAGGAAGGAGTTTTGGATTTTGAGGAGAGGATCCTATTTTCATTAATGAGGGAAATCAAGTCAAGTGGACCATTTGTCAAGTCCTGAAGGCTGCTTAATGCCTCTCCCCACTTCTCTCTCACACACCCTTGTGAAATAATTTATGTTCAGAGTAGTTTGTTCCCCAGTTGGTTATCTGGCCTGATGAACAGTAAACTACCTGAAGAAACCACTGACTTGGGGATTGTTGGGTTGATTGTGTTGCCCTCTGGGGCACTGTGAAAGGGAATTTGGCCCCAAGAGACCCCAAAACAAATTCTGTAGCATGCTTAGTTTTCAAGGTTTTGCATAGTTATTGGAATTGTTGTTGTTGTTAAGTGCCATCAAGTTGATTCCAACTCATAGTGACACTTTACAGGGTTTCTGAGGAGGAGCAGCTGGTGGGAACCAACCTTGTGGTTCATAGCCCAATACTTATCCTTACAGCACCACACTAGTTGTTAGGCTAAGAAAACACAATGAATGCCCAGTGGGCATCGGATAGCCAAGTACCCTTCACCCATGGGACCATGTAGGTCCAGTAGGAATGGGTGCTTTTTGGGCCCATTTCCTGAATGTTTCATGCAGCAAACCAGGTGGGGAGGTGAGAATTGTAATACTGAATCTGCACTAGTTGTTCAGTCTCAGGGAAGCCACTTACCGCTCCCTTTGTGGAAAAAAGCTCTATGGTCCCCATTTAGGACTATAACATACTATAACATGTTGGATTAATCCAGCAGACTCAGGCTCTCTAGAAGCTGAAGTTGACTTCCAGATGGCAGTGAATCCAGGCCTTCCCTGAGACAGTGGTGGCCACTGACCAGGTATCTGTTCAGGAAGAAACGGCCATATAGACCTGGTCAATGACCAGGAATCAAAGCTTTAATGATGGGCTAGACCATAATTCTAGAGCCCATCTCACCACAGAACTTGGCAAATGGTAGTTGATTTGATGACTTCATCGGTTTAGGCTCTGCAGAGGAGAAACCTTGATCTTCCTGTAATAAAGCAGGCCCTACTGAGTAGAGGCTAAAGCAGGTAGAAGAAGAGTACAGACTCCTCTCTTTTTTCCATCTCTGTGCTACTTTCCATGTCTGCTCTTCTGGCTTCCGTGCTATCATCTGTAGAATAAAACTGGCCTTGAACATCTGTTGTCTGAGAGATGAAAAGTGATGAAAATAACAGGAAAACTGAGCTGTGTCTAACCTATTAATAGACTGTACAAGAACTTTCACCTCTTAGCTAATTTAAAGCCCTTGAGTTCTGTTTCTGAATAGCAAGGCTTTGCCGAGCATTTCATACTTCTCTCCACAAACTCTGGTTGCTTTTGACCTCTCAAGAAAAAGTCCATTTGTCTGTAGTTGATGGGCAAGTCCTGCTGTCCTATTAATTTATAGGAAGGGCTTGAATTGTATTTGATGGGTACCACTTCTCTGTACCTATATCAGCTGCTCTTTCACTCAAGAGGGCTTGGTAGGGTGGGCAGCGCACACCATTTGGTTCCCATTTAACACAATTTCTTCAGTGACATTGGTTGTAATTTTTTAAAGATGTGTGAATGTCCTCATTCTGATTGTTCCTTCCCCAGTAATCTAGTTTCCCTGCCCCCATGTCTTCTTAGCTTGTGTTGACTAATAGGCCACATATCAATTATATATATTATATATATATTTATTTATTTTAGTCCAAGCACATTTTTTTCTGGTTTGATCACAATTTCTTTTCATCCGAGCGTTTGTTAGATGATCATTTAAAGAACACAGTGCTCATGGATGATGTCGATGAGCACTTTACTTGATATTGCTCAATTTGTGGTGCTGCCTCCTATCTTGACCTGACCTCCTGCTCTCTGTGTGTGTATGGAGAGAGAACCGTCCTCTGCTCCTCTGTCCAGTGGAAACAGACCCAGGGCTTTGCTAGACTTGCTACCTAGGCTGGATTAATTCTCATCACAGTATATTATAGCCCTAAATGGGGATCCTGGAGCTATTTCCAGAGGGGAGGGATAAAGTCCTTTTCTTGAGGTTAAACAATTCTGACTGCCCCTTCCCCCCTCTCTGGTCTGTTGCAGTCAATATTTAGGCATGGATCCTTCAAAGGTCACCCTGTTCCTGCCTCAGGTAGCACCTGATGAAACTCTTTTGTGCTTTATAGAAACGAGTTTGATTTAATGCGATTGGAAGGATAAGTGTATTTATCAAAAGCTCTTGTGTTTCCTCTCACTTCATGGACTCCCCCAGGGCCCACAGGCTGCTGGAATGAGTCATTACAGGCAGTAAGTCTTGTGGGGCCTTAAGGTGACTTGTTTACCTGTTCTGTGTAGAGGGCAGGGCAAAGCTTTATGGGAGATGGCAGAGAAAGGGAATGTTTTGTTTCCCAAGTCCCATCATTAATATAAAGTCTCTATAGGCAAAATGATGTCAGGTGCCTTCAAGTAGATTTTGGCTGACAGAATAGGAGTGTCCCATAGGAGTCCCGGTTTGAAGCTGTGGGATAATGCACTGGGCCACAAGGTCGATTTGCACTGCAAGGTCAGCAGTTCAAATTCACCAGTCACTCCTCTCAAACGCTATATGGGCTCACTATGAGTTGGAAATGATTCAAGGGCGCTGAACAACAACAAAATAGGGTTTCTTAGGGCAGGTCTTTCTCCCGCAAAGCCAGCCACTGTTGGGGTTCAAACTGCAGATGAGCGCTTCACCATTGCATTAGCAGGGCTCCTTTACAGGTACTGTAAGAATTTCCAGTTTTGCCCTGTTGCTTGTTAACTTTCTTGTTGAGAAAGTTACCTTTTACATCTTTGTTCCCTGACTTCTCTCTGGCCCTTAAGGATCAGGGCTTTAGCTGTCTCATCTTTTTCACTGCTGGCTTTGCTGGCCTTGCCCCACATTTCTGTCAGCCCCTTTCCTACCTCTTAGAAGTCAGGCTTTTTCCTAAGGATTTGCATTGCTCCCTCCAAGCCCCCCAGTAGGGCAGCTCACTCCTGTTAATAGAGTCTCTCAGCTATTAGAGTGGGGAGGGATTTCTCTAGAAGACTTGGAGAGTCAGCCTTTTGTATGAAGAGAGCCTTTCTCCTCTCTCTGGCACTAACTTCTTAGTTCTTAAAGCAGCAGGATTTCCCAGACATTTTCACAACAAGGCAAATAGTGGTAAAAAGAAAATGTCACTTTAAAAATTAGATTTAAAGGTAAGTAGCAAAGCCTTGTTGTTGTTGTTGTTGTTGTTAAGTGCACTTGAGTCAGTGCTGACTCATAGTGACCCTGTGTAGTTTCCGAGGAGCGGCTGGTGAGTTTGAACCACTGTCCTTGTGATTCACACCGACCTTGCAGTCCAGTGCTTTATCCCATAGCATCAGGACTCCAAATACAAAGCCTCAGTCAACATAATTTAAGTAATTTGATCTAAAATGCCCTGGAATGTGAGAGATTGTGTTACCAAGATGTGATTGATTTATGCCTTGTTATGAACCAACCCCCAACTCCCCCAAAAGTCTATTCTGTTAAAGATTCGAGGTCATAATAACAAATGGGCAGTACTTTGCAATCCGCATCAAAACGTTATTACTATATTATGTTACAGATGTTTCAGTGGATCTGAAAGTGCTTCTTTAATGTTTTTTATGCGCAGAAAGTCACACAATATACTGAGACAAACATTTGACTAACCAACATTAGATACTAACCAAACCTACCTTCTGACTTAATGTACAAATGTAACTTAAGGGCAGGCTTAGAATCAACTGGAGCTCATTCATAATCCAGGGACTGTCTATTTCATAAATCATAGGAAGAGTATATGATGGTTCTGGGGTCTCTATCCTAATTGGTTTCCAGCATAAGAGACAAGTTTTCCTCTTCTTGTCTCCCTCCTGGTTTTACAACAGAACTTTGTCGAAATATTTCAAGTATTGTAACCTTAATTGCACATCAGCAGTGTGCTTCTAAAGCTCTGCTCTGCAATCCCACAGAACATACCCTTGCTCTTTGAGATGCTTTCTGCATATACAGGTATGCATTGCTTAATGTCCATGTTCTGTGGGATTCCAGACCAGAGCTTTAGATCCCAGAAAAAGGAGAGTGTAGAAACTTGAAAAGTAAACCAAATGATGTCCACTGAAAACCATCACCTGAACAGCACAGTCCTGAGGCAGGAAAGAACCTGACTGGTTTGAGACAGAAGAATTAGATCTAGAGAACAAAAGTGTCTAAGGCCCATGGTGGGGTTGTGGTGAGGCAGCAGGCTATTCTTGGATAGTAGAAGAGTAGAGTGTGTAACCTCAAGCTCTGTGTGGGTTAGCTGGGAAGTTCCTTAACTTCCCTTAAACTTGCTTAATCTAGAAAATGGGGATCGTAGTATTGCACAGGGATGTGGTAAGGATTAAATAACAAGATATACCAGAATGTACTTGTACTTTTCATAATACTTGCTTTTTGACAGAAATCTGATTTTGAGACTGTTGAGTATGTTCCTGTGTCATTTTGGTCCTGACAAATGGTAGTAAAAAAGGGAACAAGCTATAAAGTCCAAAAGTCTTTGCACCAATGAGGGGATTTTAGTTTCTCTTCTGGCACAGTATTCTAGAGGTGACAGCCTTGGTTCCTTTGGCCAGAATATTAGTAGGAGATGGTGTGGGTTCAATAAAGTTGTTATTGTTCCTTACCAAAAACAAAAAAGGCTTTCTGCTCCCGTAAAAAGCTCTACAGCCTCGGAAACCCTGTACAGGATTGCTATGAGTCAGAACCGACTTCACGGCACATAACCACCACCACTGTGTGTGTGTGTGTGTGTGTGTGTGTGTGTGTATATATATATATATATATATATATATATGTTGTTAAGTGCCATCGAGTCAATTCTGACACATAACGACCCTATATAGGGTTAACGAGGAGCAGCAATGAGCTTGAACTGCCAACCTTGCAGTTCAAATGGCTTTCTAGTCTGACGCATTAACCCACAGCGCCACACCTGGACTCATATAATTCCTTTCATATGAGTCCATTTTAGTACTGCTGAAGTATCAAAAATTGGTGTCCAATGGCCGGGGTAAGCTAAAGCTGGAGCTCCATGGTCAGTTCCAGAGCCTCCAGTGACCCTACACCAATAGTTATATATCCTGACACATTCCACAGCTAAAATCAGCTCTTATCTTTTTCTCAAGTGCTTTTTCTCCATTCACTTACAGAAACCCAAACCCTTGGTGGTCAAACATTACTTCTAGGGGTCCAAGGAAGGCGTAGTTTAATGACTTGAGATTCTCACTTTCATTTGTCTTCTTGGCAACAGTTGATTGGCATGCTGCTGGCCTGCTGTCTGTCCCGGTTCATCACGGCCAACCAGTATGAGATGGTGTAAGAAGGTGAGTGGCAGTGGGACGGGCTTCACTTCTGGGTTCTCACTGTGAGGTCTGTTTTGTTACTAGTTGCCATTGAGTCAAGTCCAACTCCTAGCAGTCCATGTGTGCAGAGTAGAACTGCTCCATTTGGTGGTTTTCAGGGTTGGAACTTTTGGAAGCAGATTGCCAGGCCTGTCTTTCAGGACACCTCTGGGTGGGTTCAAACCACCATCTTTTGATTAGTCATTGAACCATCCAGGGACTTCTGTGAGATATGTCCCAAGCCAACTGCCATTGAGTCAATTCCGACTCATACCATAGGGTTTCTGAGGCCTGCTGTAAATCTTTATGGGAGCAGAAAAACCTTGTGGTTAGCAGTCTAGTCTTAGCCTACAGTGCCATGAGGGCTCCTTGTAAGATACACTGTTGTTGCTGTTTAGTGCCGTCCAGTTGGTTCTGACTCCTAGTGACTGTATAGGAGCCAAAGACTCCAAAGAGCGGCTGGTGGGTTTGAACTGCCGACTTTGCAGTTAGCAGTCCAGTGCTTCTCCTACGGCACCACACCAGGACTCCGTGCCGCCACTTAAGTAACAGATCTCGGTGCCAGATCTCTTGCCCACATGCCAGAATCTCATTTCTGTGGTGCTGGGTAGGAGGAGGTAGGACAACTGTTTTTGTGTATAATGTGTAAATGCTCTCTTTACCTTGTTACCTTAGTCTAAGTCTTTATTAGTGGTGAATCACTCACATGTTTTCATTTCTTTCTTAGTCTTTCAAGAACAACCGAATCAGAGACCTGTTTATAAAAGAACTGCAGGAACCTTTGAAAGACTTCCAAAGAATTTTAGAGCACAGTACATAAAACCCTTGCACCCGTACCCTCCTACTCCTACCCCCACCTTACCCCCAGTGTGTAACCAACTCCCACACAATCTCTGCTCCATCTGAATCATGTGTAGTGTTCCAGTTTGTAAAGCCCTGTTATGCCAGAGTAGAGCCAGGTCCCCCTTGCAGCTAGTCCTTAGAGATCCCACCTTCAACCCCCAAGGCTCTGTGCGTATCACCTCCTCCATCTGTACTTGGCCCAACTACAGCTCATCGTAGGTGACCGGTTATTATGCCATCACTGGCCCCACTGGGCCCTGCATGTAGTGTGGGAGGCTCCTGTTTTCCCTTCACCGTGATCAATAAATGCCACATACCTTTATGTAGATAAGCAGAGGATAAATATCTGTTCTTTTGACTTAATCTTGCTTGGTTTGGTTTTTCCCTTTACTAAGGCTCTTTCCTACCTTCTTCAAATTGCCCAGGTCATGGAAAGAATGTATTGGTTGTTGCCCATAAGGAGACGAAAGTGGGTGTCAGGCATGAAGGGTACTGTTGGTGAGCTTTAGGTGGCCTCCTTACTCATTACTGTCACATGCCTGGCTAGGTGTAGACAGTTCAGTGCCCCTTTGGCGCTCAGTTGAAACCCGTATAATCCTATTAAAGAGCTGTGCTGTTGCTTCTTGTGAAGGCAATAATATTTCCCCAGCAATTGCTATTGTATTACTTTATTTCTTCTTTCCGTACCTTTCCTGCGTTAACATTACAGACATGGAGGGCCTCGTCAAATCAAGTTAAATACGAGTGTGAGGGAGAAACAAAAGTCTAAATATTTTTTAAAGAACTTAAAAAGTAATGCCTCTGTCTAGCATGCCAACAAGAATGCATTGATATTGTGGACATTTGTGATATATGTATTAATAAATAGAGCCATTAAAAACTGCTGTGTTCTGATTTTGTTCTTTGCTAATTATGTACATAAAAAAAAAAAAAAAAAAAATGTCTCTTTCCAGTTTGTTCCAAAGGGGACTTGAGGCGGGCCACCTTACACACTCACACTCCACTCCTCACATGCTCTCACAACCACATCACCAAAATAGCATCAGCATGGTCAATATGTTGTTGTTGTTGTGAAGTGCCGACGAGTCAGTTCTGACCCATAGCAACACTGTATAGGGTTTCCAAGGAGCAGCTGATGAACTTGAACTGCCAACCTTGCAGTTCAAACGGCTTTGCAGTCTGGCGCATTAACCCACAGCACCACACCATGGGTCCATTTTTTGTTTGTTTGTTTTTCTCAGGTACAGAATATATTGTTGACTGCAGAAACAGAGCCTCCATCTTATTTCAGGCCTCTAATATCCATGACATAAATACAAAGAGTTCAGTAGATTTTTAAGTATGGATTTAAAGAAAAAAGAGATGGATATCTATTTTTCCTTCCTCATTTTTAACCATAATCTCATTCCTTTTTCTTCCCAGATTGAATAACCTCAATCTAGCGAAAGAGGTGTGATATCTTACAATCTAGCCACCTCAGTGCCTCCATTTGTACTAAAGTATGGAACCCTTCCATGTGATTTAAACAGCATTTTAGCAAGAGCTACAGTGGTTCAAGCTTACCAGCTGCTCCTTGGGGACCCTATACAGGGTCGCTATGGGTCGGAACCGACTCAATGGCACTTCACAACAACAACAGTATATATTCTCTGCAACCTATTTTTTTAATGAGTCATCCCTTAAAATCCTAGTAAAAGCATAAATTGGTCTGTTTCCAAATAAATGGCTCTAAAAAGCTGCTACTTCTATGTAGAACAACCTGTAATTAATCCAACTACATGAAATGTATCAACCTGAAACCTGCATGGATTAAACCCTGAAAGGCTTGCAAAGGGGGGGGGCACTACCTCAGACCTTCTGATATTCCATTTTTAAAAGGTCAGTGCTTTCAGAATTTTTCTTTTTGGTTTGTTTAAATGAGGCTTTTCTGTAAAATCCTGAATAGATCCCACCCACGGTCCGTCTCTCCTCTTCCCCCTCCCCCATTTATCCTTCCAGAAAATAAGCAGCTCTTGGTAAACTCTGGCAAGTAAGAAATCTATGTGGTGTTGGCAGCTGTTGATTTGGCCCCCGACTCAAGGAAACTCCATGCACAATGGAACAAGATGCTGCCCTCTCCCCATGTTGAGAGATCATTGTGGTGCATAACACTTCCATTGGCTGGTTTTAAATCACTAGACCTTTCTTCCTAGCTCCTTAGAGTCTGGAAACTTCAATGAAACCTCTTCAGCATCATTAAAAAACAATAACAAAAAACTTGCCTTCAAGTTGGTTCTGATATAGTGACCGTATAGGACAGAACAGAATTGCCCTAGAAGGTTTCCAAGGTTATAAATATTTAACCAGACTGCCACATCTTTCTCCCATGGAATAGCTGGTGGGTTCAAACTGCTGACCTTTTGCTTAGCAGCTAAGCACGTAACCACTCTGCCACCAGGGTTCCTCATAACACACATGCCTCCACTGACAGGTGGTGATAGTTGCAATTAAGGTGCCTTGTAGGAGAATCAAATTGAGATCTCCTGAATGTTAAGTGCCATTGAGTCAATTCTGACACATAGCAACCCTGTATAGGATTTTGTGGAAGCGTCTCCATCTTTCTCCCACAGAGCTGCTGGTGGGCTTGAACTGCTGACCTTGTGGTTCACAACCCAATGCTTTTCCTACAGAACCACCATGCTCCCCAATAAAGCTTTCCTGTTAAGTGCTGTGGAGTTGGTTCATAGCGACCTTGTATGAGTCTTAACCGCCGACCTTGTGGTTCAAATGGACCTTGCAGTTCAGTGCTTATCCTACAGCACCACACCAGGACTCCTCAATAATGAAGCTAGTTCTACTCTGACACACATGGGGTTGCCATGAGACAGCATCTATTTGATACCAATAAAGCTAGTTGCTATCAAATTGATTCTGTCTCATGACAACCCCATGTGTATCAGAGTAGAACTGTGTGCCATAGGGTTTTCAATGGCTGTTTTAGTGCCTCTGGTTGAACTCGAACTTCCAAACTTTTGGCTAGCTGCCAATCACATTAATCAATTATGCCACCAAGGAACTAACGGTATTCCTTTTGATATTACTGATGATAAGTTTGATTGTTCATTTCTGGTAATCTTTCATTTCTCCCTGTTGTTAAGTGCCTTCTGGCTAATTCTGACTCATAGTGACCCCGTGGAGGGTGTCCGAGACTAAATTTTTCTCCCATGGAGAAGCTAAGCTGGTGGACTCGAACTGCTGACCTTGAGGTTCTCAGTACATTGCGTATCCTACAGAATCACTGCACTCCTTCATTTCTCCTTAGTAATGTCATTGCTCCCTGGTTGCCTTTAAAGTTTTCTCCTTCCCTTTGGTGTTCCTCTTCAGTGTGTGATGCACTTTCTAGTGCAATTTTCTGTCTTGGAGGCTTTCGCATTTTCCATGTCTTCATTTCTTGTAGTGTCCTGGATAGTTTCCTCCATTCGGTTTATCAGTTCTCAAATTTGTCTAATTTGGTATTTTAATTTTCAATCAGTAATTTTTCATTTTGTTTTTAAAAACCTGTTGATATTTTAATAGTGTCCTTTTATTTCACTGAGACATCTCATCCTGTCTCTGTTAATTAATTCTCAACTATTTTTATCCTTTCAGATATTCTAATATCTAAAGCTCCTGGGCAGTAATCTTGTATGTTAGGTTTTCTGACAGACTCGTAGTTTGTTTTCTTGTTTTTTTGGTGTTTTTTTATTTTTTTATTTTGCAAGTGAGGATTTTTTTAAAATAAACTTATTTTGGAATACTTTTAGATTTATAAAAAATGTCCAAAGATAGTACTGAGATTTTTCACCAGTTTCCCTAATGTTAACATCTTCCATTATTATCCTTGTACATTTGCACAACTAACTTTGGTAATGTTCAGTATTAACTAAACTCCAGACTTTAAGGAAATTTCAACAGCATTTCCTCTAATGTCTTTTTTGTTGTTGTTGTTCCAAGATCCAATCTAGGATACCACATGGCATTATATTGGTGTTTGGTTTTTCTGAGATGCTAAGTGCTGTCGAATTCTGACTCACGGCAACCCTGTATAGGGTTTCTGAGAGCAACTGCTGGGTTTGAACTGCTGACCTTGTGGTTAACAGTCCAGTGCTTAATCTAC